ATTTGATGCCGATGAAAATTGATGAAACTACAGTATCACTTCTCATTCCATATCATGTTAATAATCAATGGTATTTTTGGCTAGAAATTCTATTTCTCTAAATATGTAATTTAAAAATACTTTTATGGGGTAAAAATTTCAACTTTTAATAAGACCTTTCTAAGAACTTTAAAGAACCTTGAAGCACATTGAGAAGTTTAAATGAAAATTGTTGCATGAAAAGATTTAATTTTCTAACTTCATTTTGAGACTTTTTGGATTAAATCATAAAATGTAGAGTTATTCTTCTTAGCTGGGGATCGGAGTACCTAAAACAAAAACAGCAATTAAAAACAAACCATAAGAAATGTACCGAAATCAAGTAAGGAGTTCTTAAAATGGTATGTGGGGTTTATCAAAATTCTGTCTTTCGCTAAAATAATTTTCTAAATGAGAGACTTGGTTTCCCTTAATTATAGTTTTCTTTTTCTTTGGAACATATTTTATGTCCCAAAAATGCATATTCCCTTAGGGTTATACTGTATGTGTATTTAAAAAAGGGGGCTTCATAATTTAGCGGCTTTGGCGTAGACAACAATGCGCCAATTCATGGATACCGCTTACGTTATCATACACTGAACAGACATGTGTATCGCAAACTTAATTACGTCAACAACTCTATACCCCTTGATGACGCTAAATGTTGAATACGCCAAATTATGTACACGTAAAGTATACAGTACAGTATACCGGTAGTTTTCCCCTGTCCTTCTGCCTGTCTATCTGCTAATTCTTTGTTTATTTGTCCGCAAGAACTAATAGCTTTTTCCATCAATTTTTAGTATAGGTGGGACTTTCATATTTCTTCCTTGGAACATAATCGGGCCAAATGTCACACATGATATAAAAGAATCTTTACTTAAATGGCCTCAAAATTTCATGTCAAAATGTTGTAAATAGGTATCAATTTTGAGTGATTTATCAGGACATATTAAGTCACTCAGCAGCAAAATCTTCGACTCACAGGCATTATAAAAAAAATATGTGATTGAGCTTTCATTTTCTCAACATTTTGCAAGAGTACCTGTACAGTTTGAGTTACCTTATCTACTCGACATCCAAACACCATTTCTTGTCAAGCTTAAAATCTATTAAACAAGTAAAGAATAATCTTTTTTTTTTTAAACCAAAAACTGCAGGAATTTTTGAGATATAATATGATATTGGTGACTCTCAATCACGTTCTTTACAGTCCGGATAAAGTTTTCGTCGATAATCTTCTTCCCGTCCTCCCGTATAGCCTTTTTACAGAGGCCCAACGGTCTAAAATTTCAATTTGCTATTTGTGGACGAATGTCATGAATACCCTAGTTTAGTACATGTTTTATTATGCATATTTTGGATCTATGTTGGCGATATCTCGAGCATTACACATCATTTAACAAAAGTGTGGTGCGCCGTCAATTCAGGAGACGCCATTTTTACAGTCGTTTTCACGGGAATTGCTTCGGGGAAAAATCACTATATTTCTGTCAGTAGTTCAAATTTCACGTCAGAAATCTAATACATAATAATAAAACAATTTAAAGATACATTTTTGAAAATTGTATAAAAATATCGCGAATTATAGAAAATTAATGAGTTAGATTTTGGATTCCGCATACTTTTGCTTCAATTTTTTGCCGTGCTCCGTACCTCTCCATCAGCGATATCAAAATACCGATAACTTTCGTAGATTTTTTTTTAAATACAGAAATTTTGCCTAAAATATATTGGAATCTTTAAGATACATACATGTATTTCTGTGAAAGAGCCTAAGTCAAAAAGTACACAAATTGGCCTGATTTCAAAATAGGACAGTTTTTGCTCTGGATATATCTACAGACTATATATTTTTTCAAAACAACTTTCTTTTTTCAATATCTCTTTTATATTTTCCGTAAGAGGTCTTTAAAATAGCATATGTATATGGCCGAATTTTGTACATTTTACGGAACGTCATAATGACGTTGTGAATTTCAACACTTCTGAGTTCTCATAAATAAAGTGGTGAATTATTTATTAATTGATGAGAATTTCACAAAAATGTATTTTACATTTATATTACAGATAGTGCTTTGATATTTTGTTAATAAAAGATAACTTAATGTGAAATTATAACGTCAGTTATAAACAAGCTTAGGTACATGTACAAGTGAAAATGACAGCGTGTCCGTTCAGCGCCCGCGTGCTTATCGTGGTACACGTAAATAATTAGGTACATTGTAACGTTTCATTGTTTGACTTTGATAATGTTGTAAAATAATAAATTCATGAATAATTTACACAAACTTTATGCATTTGATATTTTAATCAACCTGTATATATAAATGTATATATAAAGCCAAGTAGTGGAACGTAGCAACCGGGGGGGGGGGGGGGGATGGGGGGCGTTAAATGTTAAAATATTAATAGTACCACATATAACGTAGAGAACACTGCGTATAATGTTTATTCCTCATATGTAAGACAGTCCCGGCGTTCCATACACATTCTCCAACAAAGAAGACCTCTAAAGAATTTTACACATGGACTTGTGAAGATATTCTTTTCGTCAAAGTAATCATCCTCATGCTTTAACAAAATGTTATCACGATCATCAATTGCAGAGTTTTTAGAAGAAATAATAAATGGATTTATTTTAAATAATCCATACAGTGTGTTTATTGACAATCACTAGACAGGGTTATGAAGTTTCATTTATCCCTGTCATCTTTCTACTTTTCAACATTTTCGACACTTGTGTATTTTCGAGCAATACCTATGCTTCGTTAAGCGAATACTTCCGAGAGCAGAATTAGCAAACTTCTAATGCAAGAACGCTTCTTAATCAGAGGCAGATCCAGGGCCGGTGCCTCGGGTGTGCGGCTTTCGAATTTTTAAGCAAGATTTACTCAACTAAAAACACATTATTAAAATCAGGAAAATGGGAAAAAAATCTTTTAAAATTTTCTTCTCCAGAACTATCAGGTCAGGAAAGATGAAACTCATTTGGAAGCATTTTCTGGTAGTTTAGATTCAAGTTTGTTGAAATTATGACCCTACGGGTATGGCGGGGTCACAATGGCTGATCAAAGTTTTACATAGAAATATATAGGAAAAATCTTTTAAAATCTTCTTTTCAAGAACCACTTGCCCAGGAAAGATGAAACTCAGGTGGAAGCATCATCAGGTAGTGTAGATTTAATTTTGTTCAAATAATGACCCCCTGGGGTAGGGCGGGGCCACAATGGATGATCAAAGTTTTACATAGGAATTTGTAGGAAAAAATCTTTCATAAATATCTTCTCAGGAATCATTAGGCCAGGAATATTGAAACTCATTTGGAAGCATTCTCAGGTAGTGTAGATTCAAGTTTGTTGAAATCATGACCCTAGGGGTATGGCGGGGCCACAATGGCTGAACAAAGTTTTACAAAGGAATATATAGGAAAATCTTTTAATAATCTTCTCGTCCAGAACCATTTGGCCAAGAAAGATGAAACTCATGTGGAAACATCCTCAGGTAGTTTCATTTTGTTTGCTGTCGATATTATTCTTTCAACTTTTTTTTTCGAAATATGAAACAGATACATCATACTCTGTGGTATCCTCACTGGAATTCATCGTTTCGACATATCAATGAAAGTTTCTATTATTAAAGGATAATACGTCGGAGATGTATTGCAATGTCGGGGTGAAGGCAGACATGTGTTCTTGTAATAGATATCAAATTAAATTTGCTTGATATGAATGCAAAAAACAGGTCTGCTCATAATCGGGTGTACATGTAATTGTTTTCGTTGCGAATCACAAAAGAATTGGCATATCAAGTCTTCAAAAGCCACATAGATATTGTTTGTCAAAAAGTCAAGCATCTGTTAAATGAAATATAGTGAGATAACGAAAAATAGCTTAAAGTCCATTATCAGAATAGGGATCAGGTGACATTGGGGAGTAAGCATCCCTTGCCGACTGGTGGCACCCGTGTGCTCCTTGTCATGATCGTGAACTAACGGACAGAATCCGTTACAACTCAGGATGTAGATAATGACTGAACAATCGGTATATCAACTTCAGAGTTCTTTTGTGTAAAATATGAATTTCAGAGTTTTAACATAACAACTTTAAATATGACCAATAACAAGGTACATATAAGTACGAGTTCTATTTCAAATGAAAAAAAAACCGGCTACCAATTCAATGATTACAAATTATGAATTAATACGCAATTTTTAATGTAATTTTTCAAATGTTTCTTGAAATTTTTCAGTTTCCACATCTGATTCACACCCCTTCCTCAATATGTATTGCTGCACAGTTTCCCCTGAATTTTCTCCTCTATTTTTGCTAATAATTTATTGAGGAGTAAAGAAAGGGGCTAGGTAGATTTATTGGAATCCGCTTTATATCTTTGTATAAAAGGACTTTTATGAAAATCTCCAATTTTGTTGAGAATATTTTAAATAATTCAAAACTGACACATGATGATGAAGATTTTCATCATTGGAAAGGGAACTATTAGTATAATTTGCAATTGGATAACCACCTGTAGAATTCAAACCTGATTTTCTAGCATAATGAAGGATATGGAGATAAAGAACAAATCAAAATAATTAATCTTACAAATGAAAACAGTATTCTTTCATGCTTTGTCAGCTCGGACTTTCTGTGTATTTGTATCAATTATTGTTAATTTAATGAGCATACAAGTTGAATATTGAACTTCATAATTTTCTTATGACCCAACTATCCAATTGAAGTAAATTTTCTTGAATTTGTGAGAAAAAAAAATAAACTCTCCTTTTTAACAGAAACAATATATGTATTATAAACAGATTTCATAACATCAGTAGCAGAATAACAATATAAAGATCACTTTGTGTTCTAAATCATATATAAAAACTACAAAAGAATATTATATTATTTCCAAAATTAGAATTGACTTACGCTTTCACACACATACGTGTACACCCTCTTACACACACTTAATAATGAGTTCATGTACATCTACCTTCCCGATCTAATGTATATTTGCAAACACTTTGATGCTTGCTTCAATACAAATTTAAATATATCTAAAATATTTCGGCGGACGGAAAATATATATTATGTATGTACACATGAACAAGTCAATTTAAAATCTGAATATAACAACCATGAGATATAAAATACACACAAAACACTCACTTTATAGAATTATATAGTATTTTTGACAAAAATATAAATTCATTCTATGAACAAAATAATATTTATATATATATATATATAAAATATTAGGGCTAACACAGTTTACACATAAAATGAATTAAACGTACGATCATGTTAAACATTGAGCACTTTAAAATCAGTTATAAAGCAATTATCAGAACATTTTATTGCACATCCTTGAAAAGGCCTTGATAGCATTATCGTCGATTTTTATGGAATTGATAAGTTGTAATGTCTACAATTTTCTACTTTGAAGCGCCATCAAGCTGTTGACTGATCTCTCTGTAAAATAGAATTTTATCATGATATTTTATTATGTCCGCTTAATTACATGTATTAGCTAACCTGAGCTGAAGGCTCAAGTGAGCTTTTCTGATCAAAATCTGTCCGTTGTCTGCCGTTGTTGTCGTTATCGTCATCGTAAACTTTTCACATTTCCATCTTCTCAAGAACAACTGGGCCAATTTCAACCAAACTTGCAACAAAATATCCTTGGGTAAAGGAGATTCAAGTTTGTTCAATTGAAGGGCCACACCCTCTTCCAAATGGAAATAATTATGAATAAGTGAAAAATTTACGGAATTTTTAAAAAATCTTCTCAAGAACCACTGGGCCAGGAAAGGTGAAACTCATTTGGAACTATCTTCAGATAGTGTAGATTCAAGTTTGTTCAAATAATGACCCCCGGGGGTAGGGTGGGGCCAAAATGGCCGATCAAATTTTTACATAGAAGTATATAGGAAAATCTTTTAAAATTTTCTCAAAAACCACTGGGCCCATCGTCGCAAACCACAGCCAAAATATACGATCCTCTCCCATTCTGGCCGTGGTTGAACGAGGAGAGAATTCTTCGTAGCTCATTAAAAAACTGACCAATGCGAGTAAAGCATAGTCGGTTGATGAACTTTATCACGACATTTCAATGTCCAGTCACAGTATAGGAAAAACTTCTTGCATACTGCTGACGTCAGTTGTTTATTTCAATTGCGATGGAAACAAAACTTGCCACTGACTGAATATGACGTCACAATAGAGAGGCGTAAATATTCAAGATTACGACACTTTTTTGTGATCAAGCAGCCACGGGTAGGAGAGAGCTATATGCGGACTCCGGACCGTGGCTTGAGACGATGCAATGGGCCAGGAAAGATGAAACTCATGTGGAATTATCCTCAAGTTTCTTCAAATCATGACCCCCGGGGGTAGGTTGGGGCCACAATGGCTGATCAAAGTTTTACATAGGAGTATATAAGAAAATCTTTAAAAACTTCTTCTCAAGAACCACTGGGCCAGGAAAGATGAAATCGTGTGGAAGCATCATCAAGTTGCGTACATTCACATTTATTCAAATCATGGCCCCCTGGGGGTATGGTAGGGCAACAATGGCCGATCAAATTTCATATAGAAATATATAGGAAAAATCTTTAAAAATCTTCTTCTCAAGAACCACTGGGCCAGGAAAGATAAAACTCATGTAGAATTATCCACAGGTAGTGTAAAATCAAGTTTGTTCAAATAATGACTCCCGGGAGTAGGGCAGGGCCACAATGACCGATGAAAATTTTATATAGGAATATATAGGGAAATATTATTAAATCTTCTTCTAAAGTACTTCAAAGCCATTATTAGTGATATTTATATGGAATCATCCTCCTTAGTGTAGATTATAGTTTGTTCAAATCATAACACCTCCCAGGGGAAAGGGTGAGGCCACAAAGGTCGATCATAGTTTTACATAGAAATAAAAGAAAAATCCCAAGAACAGAAAATCTATGTTTAGTCATAAAGACATGTAAGCATCCTCATTTTTTGCAGAATGATTTAAATTTGTTCAAATCATGGCCTTTTGGGGTAGGGAGGGTAGGACCCCCACCCCCCTTAGTAAACCTTTCAGTTCTGACCTGATCTGTGCTTTTTTCTAGCCGATGTGCTCAGGTGAGCAATGTGGCCCCTGGGCCTCTTGTATCTGTCTAGCTATTTGCCATCTATCTAAATGGCTTAAACTAGATCACATGATCAAGTTTAAAAAGTGTTACTGAATGTTTCTATTTTAAACATGTATAAATAATTCGAAACATTCCATATATGAAGCAATAAAAGTGCTGACGTCGGTACAGTCTTCAAACTGGAGTACTCACGTCACAAGTCTTTATACACTGGATGTTTTGAAAATCAGATACCGCAGCTGCTATTCATTACTGTGACTTCATAGAGCAAATCACATAACAATGCCTTATTTGAGAAAGTACTGAAGGACATTACTTATAAAATGTTGTTGAAATTTATAAAACAATTGCAGCCTTTTGATTCGGTACAATACGCTTTCTCTAAGGTCGATTTATTCTTGGAATTGACTTCATCAAAATGCTATAATTGTATAATTTTCATATACATAAGTTCAGTTACGGGCAGATAAACAGGAAGTTGATACCAGATTTAAACAAAATTAAATCACACCATATAAAATGCCCAAACAAAGAGTGTGCTAAAAACTTCAAGCATCTACGATAAGAATTCGAAGTTCTCAGAAATCTGCAACCAAATAGTTGTTATGTATGGTATGGACAGACGCATCGGCATTGATCAAAAATGAATCCCACCGTATGGCATGACTCAGCAAGAGGCTCATGGGCCTTGAATCGCTCTTCTGATAAATTGTACAATCTATCACTTCTATTTGAAGCCTCTAACCCTAAGTATCCTAAGACCAAAGTTGCATCAACTGACAAAGTTTAATAATTCTTAGCTAATTAGGACTGAAGATATTTTTAATAATAAAGCTATAAAAAAAACATAAGTACGTCACAGTGACCTACTTTAAGATACAAGTTTTCTGCAGACTCAAGATGCATAAATAGACAAAGATTGAAGATTCTAAGCCAATAAGTATTTGAGATATTTAAAAGTAGGTCACCGTGGCCCATTTTTTTGTCTACATTCTTTGAAAACCCAAGATACATCAACTGAAAAAATTTGATGATTCTAAGCCGATACGTACCTGATATACTTTAATATACCCATAAAATGTCAAAAGTAGGTCATCATGACCTACTTTTTTGTCTACATTCTTGGAAAACCCAAAACGTATCTACTGACAAAGTTTGATTATTCTAAGCCAATAAGTACCCAAGATACTTAAATATAGCCAAAAAATATCAAAAGTAGGTCACTACGACCTAATTATTTGTAGACGATTTTCGAAAACCCAAGATACATTAACAGACAAAGTTTGATGATTATAAGCCAATAAGTACCTAAGATATTCAAAAGTAGGTCACCATGACCTACTTTTTGGTCGATATTCTCTAAAAACCCAAGATGCATCAACAAACAAAGTTTGATGATTCTAAACCAGTTAGTACCATAGATACTTAAATGGCCAGTAAATGTCAAAAATTAGGTTACCGTGACCTACTATCTGGACATCATTCACCATTAACCCAAGATGCATCAACTTATGAAGTTTGATGATTCTAAGACAATAAGTACAGTAGATACTTAAATAAAGCCATAAAATGTCAGAAGTAGGTCACTGTGACCTACTTTTTGATCGTCACTCTCCGAAAAGTTAAGACGCATCAACTCATTAAGTTTGATGATTCAAAGCCAATAAATACCTAAGATACTTAAATAAAGCCATAAAATGTCGAAAGTAGGTCACAGTGACCTACTTTTTGGATATCATTCTCCGAAAACCCAAGATACATCAACTTACAAAGTTTGATGATGCTAAGCCAATAAGTACTGTAGATACATAAATAAAGCCGTAAAATGTCAAAAGTAGGTCACTGTGACCTACTTTTTGTTATTACTCTCCGAAAAACCCAAGGTGCATCAACTCACAAAGCTTGATGATTCTAAGCCAATAAATACCTAAGATACTAAAATATAGCCATAAAATGTTGAAAGTAGGTCATCGTGACCTACATTTTGGTCAACATTTTTCAGAGTCCCAAGATGCATCTGCTGACCAAGTTTGATGATCCTTGGTCTGAAGGTAATCAAAGTATGCCTTTTAAACAATTCAAAAACAAATTCCTGCAAAATTCAAAAAGTAGGTCACAGTGACCTTCTTTTTCATAAATATGTATTAAGGTCCCAAGATGTATCAACTTACAAGATTTGATGATTCTAAACCTCTCAGTGTCTGAAATAATTGGATTAAATGTTTTAAAAAGAATTAGTTATTAGGTTAAAGAAGTAGGTCACTGTGACCTACTTTTAAGTTGACGTTGTTCAAGGACCCAAGATGCATCAACTGACAAAGTTTGATGATCATAGGCCTTAAAGTGTCCAAGATATGCCTTCAAATCAATTTGAAAATAAATGCCCAAAAAATTTAAGTGACCTACTTTTGAGTTAACATAATTTGATGTCCTAAGATGCATCATCTTACAAGATTTGATGATCCTAGTCCTAATAGTAAGCAAAATATAAACGTTATTATTATTTGTAAATTAAGGTCAACTTTAAAGTTACCTTGAGACCACGCCCTTTGCCCCAGGGTAATGCCTTGAACAATTTTTAATCTTCGACAAATCCTGATCCTTGTATGTAAGTTTGGTGAAAACTCTGCCTGATGGTTCTGGAGAAGAAGATTTTTTAACAAGCAGTACTTTTTGTTTTGTTTTCCTGATTATCTCCCCTTGTTTACGGGTCCTAAACCTTATTTTAGTATAAAGGGTAGCCCTTGGGCTAAGGATACCCTGTGACATATTTGACACTGATTGGCCTAGGGGTTCTTGAGTTATGGCCCATATTCTAAAAAGTTAACGCACACCGCACAAATGGCCATAGCATTAGCTCTTTGAGCCTTTGGCTCAGAAGAGCTAAAAAAGAGTGTGCTAAAGTTTCAAGCATAGGAGGGCTGTTCAATAGATAATGTCCTCGGTGCAAGGAAAGAAGCAAAAGACGCTTTATAATAATTTAGTCTAAATAATTAAAATTAAAAATTCTCTTTGAATGAAAACACTGTCTTGTCCGTAACCTTTATGTTCAATTTTGATTGGTTTTAGAACTCATATTTTAGTATGACCCTTCGTATACTGGATTATGGCAGATTCTTTAATTTCCTGGACTCGTTTCCTCTTTCTGAAAGGTGTTTTTTTCAAGTTTGGAAATTGAACCAAGTCAAAGGGAGACAGGTGAGGCGAATATTACTGTGTGAAAAAATATACCTTTCTGTTTAAATCCCCAAACTCCTTTACTCTACATGGCCTGAATTTCAATCCTTCCTGGTATATAAAACCGTCTCTGTCCTCTTGTTACTCTTTGCTATTTTCAGATCTTTCCTGTTTTTGTCAAGTGCATCCTATTGTAAAAATGTTTTGAGGGTAATAAAGCAATGAATTCAAGTTTCATTATCTGTTTGCATTTCAGACAAACGTGGAAAGCTACATTTTCAGATTTTTGAAAATAATTGTTTAGATATTCTTAAACGATGCCGTTTCCACTCATTTTTCAAAACAGGGTGGCCTTTGAGTACTTAACTTTTTTTACTGTCTTTTTAATGCAGTATCTCGAATAGCTCGTTTTCCAGCTTCTCACAATATAAATATGAGATGAAAAGTGGTCACATAAACTAATATCAATTCATAAAAGATTCAATCATGAGAAAAAGTCATGCTAAATACCATATCTGTTTTGTATGTCATATTGTTTAGGACATTATTTTCTGAACAGCCCTCGTTTCTGAACTGAGTGAATTTTGTTACGGACAAACCAACTACCAGACACCAAGACAGACGGACAGATAGACAAGGGTGAAACAGTATATCCCCTTTTCTTCGGAGCAGTGGTATGATTACGAAAAATTTTCACAATTTGATCGAAACTTAAAAGTAAACAACAAAATGAAGAAGCTATGATATTGAAATGATGACCTCAAAATGACGTCATATATAGGTAATGATGAGGTTTAGGCAGTGTACAACAATTCCTAAATTAAGAACAAGAATGCCTGTCTTAGTTATAGCTTGCTTGTAACCTTCTGGATTTCAATCAAAAGTAAACCTTTTACATAGGATTCTTGTTTAGGACAGTAACTGAAGACTAGAATTCATAATTACAGTTAGTTTCAAAATGAAGGTACCAAGTTCTTTCTATTATCCATATTTATAGAAATAATTTTTCTCCTTCTATCCAGAAGTTCGATGTATACTTTATTTTGTTACAATGAAATTTCATTAGGGTGGGAATTGTTTTGCTGCTTAAACTTGTACCAATCGATATATTTTGAGAGACATACAGTGTATATCAAAGAATTTTGGTAAGGAATGTATGTGTGACAGTTATTTAAATGGTACCTTATATTTTATGAATCATTTACTATATTTCATGTTTGTCTTTAACACAATGATTCTAACATAGGAAACAAAATTGTTGATGTTCAAAATCATTCATTCAAATCAGTGAATGAAATAAATCAAAAGGAGGATGTTAAACTATAACTTACAAACACCGGGTTAGGATTTGCTTCTGCTATGGGTCGTTGTATTCTAAACTGTCAGAAAAAAAACATAAATAGTTTGAAATCAAGTTGAAATAATTGAAAAAATAAGCAAAATCTCAATTCTGTATAAAATATACAGTTTATTAATCATGTATGAAAATTAAATTTCATTTCTAAGAAAAGACAAACCGATTCAGATGTTGGAATGGAAGACTGTATGAAATCCCAGGAAAATTCTGAATTATAAGGAATGGGTCTATCATCTAAAAGAAAATTTCAGCAAATAAAATTTACAATTTTAATTGCCCAAGTTCAATTGTATGTTTTAAATTTGAAGTTTTTACTCATGATATAATTGAACTAAAAATATTAGCTTGATATTGATGCAACTAAGATTTACCTATATGTTCTTGATTCCAGATGTCCTGTTCATATTGCCTTGGTCGTGGTAGGTTACTTTCTAAACTTCGAGGACCCTCAATACCATACGGGGAGTACATGGGTCCCCAGCTGCCATAACGGACAGGTATCCCATACCTGAACGCTTCACTCCCATCATACGACCTATGAAATCATTTAGAATCTTTATGTAAAAATCTTATAAGGAAGTACATGACATGTATTACAGTATAAATGAGAATAGTTTTAGGTAGAAGAATAAAAATAAATCAACAAAATTTATGTCCAAATTAGTAGATATGAATTTTCTTGTACAAGAATTTAATACCTTTCTACAAGAACTCTACTTATGCTACTCGCCATTGATTGTTTTCTTTTCAGAGTCTTAATTTTTTAGCTGTTATTTTACACATGTTGATCTTACCTATCATCACTATTACTGCTGACAGTCAAATCTTCCTTATCTTTTCGTCGTTTACAGTAGACGCATATGATGAATATAATTGCTATTACTGTCACTGTTAAGGGTATTCCTATTCCTAGCCCAACAATCAAGTCGAAATAATCTGAAACGATTAAAAGAATATGCATCATTTCTTGCTCACTTTATAATAAAACAAGATGTACTGTCAGCACTGCGCTCATAAAATAATTACATACGCTTCAATATGAATAATTTGCTTTTTTAATCTGTCAAAGCGGTCACTTAATAACAAACAAAAGTGCACAGTGACACTGTGTTATAAAAAAAAAACAAAACAAAACTCCAAAACACCCTCAAATTGTATGCGTTTGTAAAGGAGGATTCGCAGATAAAATACATGAACTCAAATGTTTTGAAAGGAATGGCGGTATTCTAGGTTTGCTATGATCATGAAGGGGAAATATGAATTAGAAGGTATATAATGGTACTACACAGTTAAACTTCGGTGAAAAATTCTTTATTTTCTATCGAGTTTTAAAGAATGATTTGCGGATATGGAATGGCCACCACCAATGTAATGCTATGAGCATTATGAGTACCCCAAGTGTTTCAGATTTACAGAAGCATGTCTTAACGATAAGTGAAAAACATTGATTGGAAAGCAAGTCTTTCATTTTTTATAACTGTATAAATGTCAGTATTGGGACATTTCAAACCAATTTAATCTAATTCTTTTTAACTTAAAGACACAAAACAAATTAAAAATAAATAATAGGTGGTGTTCAAATACATTTCATTCATCACCAATAAAAAGAATGCATGAAATTATTTTATCATAGATTGTTTTTTCGTAGAAATCTATTGTTAGTACTAATTTAACATTGGAATAATCTTTCTAATTGTTTATTTAAGTAGGATATTGAATTTTTTTTTTCTCAAAAATCTTATTGCAAATTATAAAGAAAACAAAGAAAACATACCTGTTACTTCTATTGATCTGAAAACAAGAATCAAACATGAAACATAAATACATGTATTTGTAAATCCTATATTAAAATGTAAATTGTATATTTTGAATTTCAAAAATAAAACTACAATAAGATATTATATACTAAAATCAAATAAAGACAGTGACATTTTAAAACGTAAAAAACTTTTTCCCGTTTGATTTTTTTTAAGATAAGTAAAGCCTTTATTTACTTACACACATGAAGGACTGCCTGAGTTTTCGACACACGTTTCCCCTTCAGAACAGGGGGATAATAGTTTTAAAATGAAACACGGGCTGCTTGAATTGTCGACTGTGAAATCTGATAAAAAAAAAAAGAAAAGAAGTGAAATAATTTTCTCTGAAAATTATCTACCTTTTTTGTATTTTAATCACGAATTTAACGGAAAACAATTGTATTTTCCCACGCACATCGACATAACACAAACAAACTGGATTACAGATACATCTGAATTTACAATGTACTGTTAAAGGACCTCGGAACATCAAACGACATGCTCTTAAAATATAATAGTTACACAGATGGATTAATTTGTAATGCTTACATGTAAGTATTTTTATTAATACGAAATGCATAATATTTAACTATTATCGTTTGTATATAATTTAATCGAACATTACAAGAGGCGATCTGTTTCACTTAACTATATACACGTAGGTTCGAATGCCTAAACCATCTCGTTAGTTGAGATTATATAACGGGAGAAATAATTGGTTATTGAGTAAAAAATATTCAAAAAAGGGAATTATATCCTCACAGAGTTGTCTTTTTAATTAAAATTTCACAACATTTAAATAATGTAATAGAGAAGTCATGGTTTATTTAAGTTACTCCAAGATTCGAACAAAAAAACTCTCGTGATTTACTGTTAGCCTGCTTTACCACTAGACCAAGATACTTTGGATAGGTGGAAATAAACATACGTTTATTTAATTTCTCAAAATTCAAAGATATGAATTTTTTTTCATTTTCTGTTGCTTTTTAGACTATCCCTCTTAAATAAAAGTCGGAAATGGCATTTTGAAAAAAAAAAAAGATATATCTCAGGTTCTTACTGTTTCTTAGAAAGTTTCCTGCTTCCACAGGGAATTTTCAGAAATATTGGTGTTCATTATTTTTAAATGCCCAATCTGCAATACTTTACTGCATGACCTATTGAAACTTTTAGCATGATGACCTATACTTACATTTTATTTAATGATAAATTTACAAGTTATTATTATAACTAATTATAACCATACATTTTCGTGGTACATGTATACACTATACATCTAACCTTTTCAATTAAAGGAAATAATAATGGTTTACTTAAAATAGCTTAAATTATCTGCTAAAATTTTGATAAAAATAACAAAGGAACTTCAACTCCCTCTTATGCTTTGAAGAACTATATGCGGTCTATTGCATATATTTGCCCCCACAAAAGTCAAATTTTGAAAACTTCCTGAAATGTGCTGAATTCAATAAATTGTATGAGAAATATAATTTACCAGAAAATATTATAGTGTCAAAGCAGTGTATTCACAATTTTTGTTTTTATGACGTCACAAACTAGTCCGATTTTATATCCTTTTTCAGAAAAAGCACAAAATGGACAAAATTTCAACAATTTTAGCTTTAAAATTTATGGAGCGCAAGTTTGTTCAGGAACAATATTGACATATTTCATTGATTTTATCATTCTACGTATCATATCAAAATATTGATCCTGAACACACATGCGCTCGGTGACTTTTACTCAAAATATCGATGAATTATGTACATTTTTCTGTAAAATTCATAAAAAACTGAAATTTACGTCATGTTTGTGACGTCATTACGAACATATGGCGTCATTACGTATGAAAATATTCAGTGCTTTGAAGTCAGCATATACTCCCCTGTTTCAAGAAATTAATTAAATATATCTCCATCAAAGTTTGATTTGGGGGGCAAATATTGGTTATTACCGAATAAAGTTCTTTTTAAGAAACCGGTCACGGTAGCCTAATGGTAGAGCGTTCGCTTCGTGATCGGGAGGCCCGGGTTCGATTCTCGTTCGCGGTTCGTCATACCTAAGACGTAAACAAAGGTAGTGACTGTTCCTTCGCCAAGCGCTCGGCACTAGAAGTGAAAGTCACGGGTCTTTCGGATATGACCTTAAAAACGTAGGTCCCGTGTCACGGTAGGCGCTGGCACGAGAAAGAACCCTCACTGCTCAATGGCCCTGAGTGCCGAGTATAGGTCTAAATTCGAAGCCCTTCACCGGCATACGGTGACGTCTCCATATGAGTGAAAAATTCTCAAGAGGGACGTTAAACAATATACAATCAATCAATCTTTTTAAGAAATAAACTACATTATTTAAAGTACACAGTTCTGTCACGTTTTCGACTTTACATATAACTAAAACGACGTTTTAGCGTATCAGGTCTTTGTATATGCTTAACAATTAATTTAAAATCGAGCAAACTGTTAGCTTCTAAAATAGATTAAATAAAATGCAGCAAAAAAACTTACTTTTGCCTTCTCCGTCAGTAATTATTACAGTAGAAAAAGAAGCATTTCTCCCTAAGATTTCAATCCTCACGGCATTACTCAGCAGTTTTTTCGTAGCCCTGATGTAGTCACTCGTTTGTGCTTCTAGAGTCTCGTTCTTATAGACGACTATTTCAAAGCTGACCTTAAGGCTACCAAGTCTAAATACAAAAAAAAGTTGTTTTCTTTAATTGAAAGGTTAAATATAAGTCTTGAAACTTTAAATAATATCGGGGAAATCTATATATTCCGTCTCTTACCTAGTAAAGAATAAATTAAAGGTTAAGATTGCAATAATTATGTTTAAAGGCTAGCTATGGGAGGGATGTACATATACTCATTTATCTGGTGTGTTACATTTTGTTTAAATTAATTTGGATATTATTATAAAAATAAAGCCTCTTACCGAAAATTACAAAATCATTTTAAAAAATGTACATCAACTGGTCACCCTGTTATACATATTAAATACTTTATTTGTTGTGGTATTTTATTTACTTTAATTCAGGGGTTATGTATCATAGTCATTAAGGCTAACTTACCTTATAGATAAAATATATATCGTTTTAAATCCACGTATTTCATCCTTGAAATTGTTTATTAGCTGAAAATATCAATAAATTAACACGGTTCAGTTCAGTGACATAACCACAATCATTAAATGTATACCAGTACGAAAAAAAATTCATTTATGCTTGCAACTCACAGTCTGAAAAATAATGGCCCTTATATTTTCAGTGTGGTCTTTAAATTCCTGTGGCGTAATAGATATTGCCAGAGTTGTCTCCGCTTGGAACTTTGTTTCTATCGTTCCAGGTTTGTGAGTTGGATTTGGTGCTGAAACAGCAGCAAATAAAAATCTTCTACAGGTGTACAATATGCATGCAATATTTAAAAATATTATCACTTTATTTAAAGGTGGTGTAACTTACACAGACATTCCCCTGTTGCATTTGTTCCATAACGACAAAAACAAAAGTGACCACTCGTTCCATTTACTAAACAATCTTGAAGATCATGGTCACATACAGCAGTTCCGTTTCTACAGTCCTCTACATGGATATCACATTTTGTTCCGTTCCAGTCCGCTTTACAGATACATTCTCCTGTTGTGTCGTCACAATCAGCCGTGTTCTCAATGTTACAAGTACAGTTCTGAGAACACTGAGTACCGTATGTCCAATCATCACACCCTTCAGATATATGATAATAATTTTGGTTTATTATTACTATTTGCTGTATTGTATTATGTTTATATGTTTTTGTGAGAAAAAAATGTTTTATTTGACCCACTTTCTTTGTATGATCCATAAAATGATTTTTACACACTCACTACTAACTTCATTGAATCCAAGTACCATTGCTCATACCAGCAATTTTCTTTTTCATCGAATCATTCATTTTTTGGAATTATGCATATTAATTTGAATTTCTTATATATAAAAGCAATATTAAATGAAGTTAAATGTTGAAATTATAATTTTGTTTTTATTCAATATAATCATTTCAAATTTTTATCAATTTTCTTTTGGTTGAATACTATGTACAGATTTAAATATATTTAAGCACAGGGACTTGAGACAAAAAATTTGGGTGTATAGTAAATTAGGGGAAGAGACCTGATAAGAGCCGCCATTAATTCATTGGTACCTCGCTTCAAACTCTAAAAACTTCAATTTCTGTTTAAAAAACCATGAAAAAGCTTTGCCAGTTGAAAGGCAGAATTTTGTCCTTTATTGTCATTAATTGATGAAGTAAAGTAAATGATCAATTTATGACAGTAAACGATAACATTCTGCCGTTAAACTGGCAAAGCTTTTTCTCGAGTTTTTTTAAAATAGAAATTGAAGTTTTCAGAGTTTGAAGCGCGGCACCAAGGAATTAATTGCGGCTTGTTAAGTCCCTTCTCTCCTATCATACTTATATACCCGAATTCTTTTTTCTATTATTGTCTTAAGTCCCTGTGTATATAAGAATGAGTTTTTGACAAGATTATGACTGAAACGAATATATAGTAGGGACTACCTATTACCTGTACAATTAAATCCATCTCCATAGAATCCGACATGACAAGAACAGTTATAGCTGTCTATCGTGTTCAGACAAGAAGCATTCAGATGACAGTTGTGGGCTCCTGTATTACACTCATTCGTAAACTCACATTGGGTTCCGTTAAATCCATCTTTACAAATGCATGTTCCATCCAAATTATCACAGTCTGCTGTGCCAACTGTGTTGCATGAACATGTTTTAGAACACTGCTCACCATATGACGTACCACTACAACCTTTGTGGAATTGAGATAGATGAGTAAAAAGAACATCTGGCTAAATTGATAATTATCATCTTTTATTTGTTTGTGTTTAAAGAACATTTCGACTTTTGACCTATCTTTTTTTTAAAGAAACCAAACATCTATTTTACCTGTACAATTATAGCCATCTCCACTGAAACCAAGTCGACATGTACATGTAAAGCTTCCTTCAGTATCAGAACAAAGTGCATGCTGTGAACAATTCCCGGTTCCAAGCGAACATTCATCAATATCTGATTAAGAGTTTGAAAGATAAATGCATTATTCACACCGCTGCCTAAAATACGATTTTAAGAATAAAGCAAAAATATACTCAAGCTCATACACGGATGGTAATTTTTTTTAAAATATATATTCTATTATCGACAGGTTCTATGGACAAAATGTTTCATGGAGAGGATTAATGTAGTTTTGGATTTAATGTTTGCAAACAAAGATAATTGCTCCGTCCAAAAACTCCCTTTCAAAGTCCTTTTATTTACTCTTAAGGAAGATATATGCTGTAAAGGAGAAACCTCGGATGAACTGTGCTACAGTGAATGATACATGTAAATCAAAAGACGATCCTTGGAAGTAAAAAAAAAACTTAGAAACTTCTAGATCAGCTAAAATCATAATTTTTTACACGTTTACTCATCGATACGAACAACTGTTCCACTTTTTTAAAAACCATTCTTCACAAAAATTTATTAACTAAAAACAGAGTTTTTTTGATATCACAAGAAACTGTTTTTTTTTTTTTTTTTTTTTTTTTTGTAAAAGAATGGATCTTGGGGAAACTTTCATATCTTGTAAAATTACTTCGATAAAATCCACACAGTTTGTAAAGACAAAATTCTTGAAGATTGATAATTAAAGGATACTGAAGTTACCCATTAACTACAAGTAATGTTTTACTTAAAAGAACATTCATTTGTTTATTAAAAGGTGTGATCGTTTATCATTCTGAATAAAATAATTTTAGCTATGCATAAATATGAGTGAGTTCAATTGTTTTTTCTTACTTTCACAACGTCCTGCTGATGTTTTGTGAAAACCTGAGTCACAAACACATAAATATGAGCCTTTTGTTTCAGTACATGATGCATTATGTCCGCAAATATTGACATCATTGGTGCATTCTGGGACGTCCTCTGTACAGTTAATACCCTGCCATCCAGAACTACAGTAACAGGTTCCATTCTGTTTGTCACATGACTGAGTTTTACTGAACTCACACGTACACTGACTGGCACAGTTCTGACCAAATGTTGTACTCGAACACTCTATAGAATAAAACAAAAACCATTTATCTTTAAACATGTTTTAAATACCATTGATCTAAATTGATGTATTCTCCTTATCTAAATATTAAAAAACTTAACTTATCATGAATGAAAAACTCTTACTAAAGAAATACTTACCAACACATTGTTCACCAGCAAAAGAAAATCCGTTTTTGCAATCACAAGAATAAGATCCATTTGAATTCTTGCAGTCGGAATTATTTGGACAGATATACTGGTTCAAACATTCATCCACGTCCACCGTACAGTCTGTCCCATTCCACCCTTCTTTACAGGTACAGGACCCCGAGATTCTGTCACAAGATGCCGTATTTTCAGGTTTACACAAACATGCATCTTTGCAGTTTATCCCGTAGTTTCCATTTTCACATTCTAAATTAGCAAAGAGATAAGTATATGGCAAAGCACTTTTCCATGAGGTAACCTTTGCTACCTGTAATTGAAGTTTTGTGAATCATATACGTACCTATACACGTCCTTTGGTCAATGTCCAGCTTTTTCCCTACATCACAAGAGCACGTGTATCCGAAACCAGGGCTATTCTGTGTACAATTCTCACTGCACGGGTTTTGTGAACACTCGTCAATATCTTTTTTGAAAGAAAGTAAAAAATTTAAATAATTATTCATTTATTCTCAATTCGGGAGCATGATTTGAAGGAAGATATTTAATACAAATCATTACAAAATAATATTTTCACTTTTTTATAGCAAATTTTTTTGTGAAACCTAATGATAGAAAAATGGAAACCATGCACATTAAAAATTATGCCCTAAATATTAAATGAATGCAATGTAATGCAGCATTTGTTGTATTGTTCAATACAAAATATGTTACGCTATATTGTTTACGTCAACATTTATGCTGGATTCACAATAAAAATGTAACTACAACTGAGCAAATTAAAATTCTTTGAAGTCCTGAATACGAAGTAAGTCCTAAAATAAAGTACCTCTTGGTTGTTTAGATCTGTATATTACATTATCAATTGAAAGAAGCCTAATTTGGAAATAAAATGATTAAAAAATATTCGAATATTCAAGCATGCAGATTAAAAACCTTAAAATGTTATTTACCAAGGCAGGTGATATTATCTAAATCTAGACTGAATCCATTTCTACAGGAGCAATACTCCGACCCATCAGCACGCACGGCACATTGCTGGGTACAGTTCAGAATGGAACACTCTGTTTTGGCTGCAATTATGACCAAAAATATGAATACGTAGTTTATTAGATGTTAATAAAAAGAAAAAAATCCATTTTTCGAATAAATAAACTCTATTACAACTAATGCTAAAAATATTGTTCCATTTATTCTATCTCCCATTTCTTCTTAGGAAATTACCGTGGCAGTTGGACTTAGTTGTCGCGTTCAGAAGAAAACCTTCTCTACAAAAGCATCTGTAACTTCCAAGAGTGTTTGAACACAGTTGGTCACATGGTGATACTGGTGCTGCACATTCATCAATATCCTCACATTTTGACTGGTTTGTGAGCTTAAACCCCGTATTACAGGAGCATGTATACCCTCCATTTGTATTGTTGCAAATTTGGTCGCAGGGTTTGCTGATACATTCATTGATATCTAAATGAAAATAAGGAAATTGTTAAATTTATTTTAAACATTCAAGTAAGCGAAGAGAAGTTAATAAGCTGTTGTGTTAATCTTTATGCGTGTTCATACCTGTACATTGTCCTGATAAAGTTTCATTATATCCAGTTTCACACAGACATCTGTAGGATCCCGGGGTATTCTGACAGATCTGGTTGGCCTCGCTACAAGGAGTACCGATGGCACATTCATCGATGTCAGCATCACATTTCGACCCTGCCCACCCTGTCTTACACTGGCATCCAAGTACGTTGTCACATGTGGAGGCACCAACTCCGCAATTGCAAGGTATTTTGCAATCACGTCCATAGTGAAAATTATCGCACACTTGAAAAAGTGGATCAAATACTTTAATATTTGATTTATTTTCACACAAGCTGTACTTTATGCTTGTAAACGTGCTTCATTACATACCTGAGCATTGTCTTCCGTCATTTTCTAAGACATATCCTATGGGACATGAACAGTTGTAGGACCCAACAGTATTTACACAGTTTTCTTTGAAGGTACACAGATTCAGTGTTTCATTGCCACACTCATTAACATCTAAAATTGTAAGCAAAGAGAAACGCAAAACCATTACGTATTTGCATAATGTACTGATAACTAGTACTTTAATTACATTTACACATTCTCCCAGATCTAATGTAATTATTAATGTTAATATATATTGCAATATACGTATGTTGATTATAAGATTGAATACAAAACAAAACCATCCAAAACAAATACATTTTATTCAATTGACTGTAATACAAATTATCTCTCTTTGTCTTACCAATACAGGACTGCTTATCCACCGCGTTCAGGTAGAATCCCGCGCCACAGAAGCAGTATCCAATAGTTTTATTTGCTAGATCTTGTTTACACCCAAATGAGCAGTTAAGATGTGGATAAAGCGAACAAATATCAGTCACTGGAAAAACAATATATATTTCAAATCACTGATGTATCAAACTTATGATTCATAATTCATTGATTGATCTTAATTTCTGTTGAACATACCCACTGCGCATGTCTTCCTGTCATCCTCCAGCGTGTACCCAAACTCACACTCACAGTTAAAACCCCCTTCCACATTAGAACATCCATGAGAACACCCTGCCACTCCAGTCTTACATTCGTCAATATCTAGTGATATTTCGTATGTATCATACATTTGTTTATAGACAACATGTTAGCGAATACCATAGTAAAAAATCCAGAGTGATAATCTTTTGCCTACCTTGACATTCGTAAGCTGATTTCTGCGTGTAGCCCTCATTACACTGGCAGGTGTAATTACCATCATTATTCAGACAAGTGGACGATACAGGGCATTTATTTGAA